AATTTTGTGCTAATAAGAATAAGGTTGCTATGAACATTCATTACTCTTCAGAATATACTTAAGGGTGAAACTACTCAATCAGTGTTATAACTTTATTAGAAATTGCCACTTTTCCAGTGGTTGTAACCATTTTACATTCCTACCCACAATGAATGAGAATTGTAGTTACTCCACATCCTTACTAACACTGGTGTTGTCAGTCATTTTTAAACTATAGTCATTTAGCATTGCCAGTCTTTCATAATTTTAGCCCTTTAGTGATATCTATTTGTGGTTTTAACTTGCATTTCCCTGATGATTAATGAGATTCCATATACTTACTGACCTTTTGTGTATCTTCTTGGTGAAGTGCCTGTTCAAGTCTTTTCTCCTTTTGTCTTTTAATTAGATTTGTACTTGTTTATATATTCTTGATAAGATCCCTTTGTAAAATAGATATGTACTGATATTTCCCCCAATCTGTGGCTTACCTTTCTTTTCGTAATAATAATGGAGTGAAAACAAGCAGTTTTTATTTAGATGAAGTCCAATAAATAGTGCTTTTTATATCCTGTTTAAAAAAATATTTTACTACCCCCAGATTGTTAAGATATTCTTCTATGTTTTCTCTCAGAAACTTTTTATTCCACTAGTTACATTTAGATTAATGTTTCTAAAGTAGGGGTCAAAGTTAATTTTTTCCATATATTTCTCCAGTTATTCCAACACCATTTGTGGAAATATTATCTTTTGTCCTTTTAAATGCATTGATAGCTTTGTCAAAGTTCATTCACTGCATATATGTGGGATTATTTTGGCATTCTCTATTCTGTTCCACTGGTATATTTGTCTAAATTTATGCCTAGGTCACATTTTTTGTCAATATGGAATCATAATAATATAATTTGAAACAGGTAGTATAAGTCCTCTAATTGTATTCTTTTCAAAGTGCTTGGCTTCTGTTTTGGTTATTTCACACTGCTCTAACAGAAATACCACAAGTGTATGGCTTTAACAAACAAGGATTTATTCTCTTACAATTTGGAGGCTGTAAATCTGAGTTCAAAGTGCCAAGCTCAACGTTGGGCTTCAGCTCTGCTTCTTGTTCCCGGCTCACTGTAGCTAGAGATGTCTCTTCACTCAGGCTGCAGCTGGCTGCTAACAAGCCCAATATCAACAAACAAAATGGCACAGTCCCAATCACATCACACAGCAGGCCCCTAATTCAAGTCCAGGACAGTCTCAAGATCAGCTGGAAACATGTCAGGCTGCTGAACGAAGGTTCAGCTACATGCAGGGTCCAAACATACCAAAAAGCTGCCAAAAAGCATTCGTAAAGCTTCTCCTTATATACTGGCAGCAGACAATCTCCTTAAGGCAATTACTCAGCTGCTCCAGTAGATTCCACCAAGGAGGTGATCACCAATCTCACCATGGGGAGTAACTACATCCAGCTGTCCAGCCACTCAAAACCATGTTCAGCCAAGTTGACACATAACCTTAACTACCACAGCTTCTTTACTTTTTTTTTTTTTTTAAATTATGATTTCCAATTAAAATTAGACTCAACTTACCATTTTCTACCAAAAGCCTACTGGAATTTTTTATGGGAATTGTATTGAATCTAGAGATCAATTTTACGAGAAACTGACATTTTAAGAATATTGAGTCTTCCACTCTATTAAATTAAAAAAAAAAAAAATTCACTTCCATCAAGTCAATTCTGACTCATAGTGACGTTCATTGGGTTTCCAAGGCTGTAAATTTTTATGGAAGTAGATTGTCCTGTCTTCCTGGTGAGTTTGAACCACTAACCTTCTGGTTAGCAGCCTTATCCACTACACTACCAGAGCTCATAGAGGACACCGTATAATTCTCCATTTATTTAAGTTTTAATAATTCTAGTTTCCAGTGTAGTGGTAGCCACTCCTCGGAAGGAAGGTTGGGCAATCCTACTTCCGTAGTGATACTGCCTTGGAAACCCAAGGAGGGGTCACTATGAGTCGGGCTTGACTCGACGGCACATAACAACAACAACAACAGTGTAGTGGTACATTTTTTATTAAGTTTATTCCTGGCTATTTCATTTTTTGATGCCATTACAAATGACTTTGAGTTGTAAATTTCAGTTCTATTGTTTGTTTATAGTATATGTATATAATTGATTTATTTTTCTGTATTAACCTTATATACCACAATTTTGTTAAATTCATTTTTTTTTATTCTAGAAATTTGCTGTAACTTCTTTGGATTTTCTACAAGCTATAGTCATGTCAAATATATATAAAAAACAAGCCAGTTGCTGTCAGGTCAATATACACTCATGTTGATCCCATAGGTGTGTAACCAGCATTGTGCTCCATAAGATTTGAATGGCCTTTGTTCCAAGATACCAGAGCCTTCAACCTTTTGGTCAGCAGCTGAGCACATTAACCATTTGCATCACCCCAGGACTTTGATATAAACTAAAAACCAAATGCACTGCCTTGATAAGGCCATTTCTATAGCGACTCATAGCGACCCATCGTTGGGTTTCCGAGGCAATATCACTACAGAAGTAGATTGCCCAACCTTCCTTCTGAGGAGTAGCTGGTGGGTTTGAACCACCAGCCTTCTGGTTAGGGGTCAAATGCCTTAGGCACTATGCCACCAGTGCTCCTTTGATATAAATACAGGTATTTTTAATTCTTTCTTTGTAATCTTTATGCCTCTTATCTCTTCCTATTGCATCACTGCACTAACTAGAACTAACAGTACAATGTTGAATATAAATGGTGAGAGTAGACATCCTTGACTTATTTCTGATCTTCGGAGGAATACACGTTACATTTTCCACTCACCTGAAAGAATAATGTATTACTTAGGAACTGCATTTGGCTACATATAATAGAAACTTTCGTGAAAAAGTGACATACACAAATTAGGCACTTTATTTTCTCATATATCAAGAAGTCTGTAGATAGGCAGTGCAGAGATGATGGTAGTAGACTTACACCTAACACTGTGTGCTACCACCTACCACTGTATACTTACATCTCACTGACCCTAACTGTTTAATAAGGCCATTTCTATCTGAAAAAGAATCCAGGAAAATCTAGTTTTTGAGCCAAAACTCACTGCCATTGAGTCAATTCCAACTCATAATGACAGAACTCATAGGACAGAACAGAACAGAACTGCCCCATAGGGTTTCCAAGCCTGAATTCTTTATGGAAGCTAATTGCCACATCTTTCTCCAGTGGAATGGCTGATGGGTTAGAATCACTGATCTTTTGGTTAGCAGCTGATCACTTTAATCTGTGCTATCAGAACCCGTAAAGAAATCAAGTTCTATTAGCACAGAAGAAGAAGAAAAAGTGTATCACTGGGTTAGGCAACTAGGTATCTCTATTACAAGAAAGATTAATCTTGTAAAGACTGCCAATTTCTGAGTTAAGAACATTGCAGAAGTATTCAGGTTTATGGAGAAGTTCATAGATGACTGATAAATTGCTTCAAACTCTGAAATAATATAACACAGAATTTGAGAATCATAGCCCATGATTGTTTGATGTTTCCAAAATGAAATGAAGACATTTTGATATCTTATTTAACAGCAATTAAGACAATTTCACTTATTTGTAAATGAAAACAGAGTTCATTGTCTGAAATTCAAGACTACTTCATTCCATTTCCTACAGAGTAAAAACAGTCAAAAACAAGAAAAGCAGCTGGTTAAATAACTCATCTATCTTGATGATGCCTTAACAGATGTGGATTTCTTGCTGCACTAAAACAGAACACCAATTTCTAATCATTTCAAAAATTGACAGAAGATTCTTAGTAGATGTTGTATATTGCAGAGTTCAAGAATGTGCAAATTAGGTGTTCCAGTCTCAGAGTGTCTAGCATTAGGGAAGTGGGAAGAGAAATAATGACTCTGAATAATCAGGCTGAATGACCATGCATGTCTAGGTGGGGGGAGTGTGCCCATGACCATGTATAAGGTTAGCAGACAATGTTTCTACATGTGTATTTGCATGCACTGTAAGAATGTCCACATGTATATAGTAGAGCTAACAAAATGAAGGTTGTGGTGACTCCTTGGCCATAGCCAGCTACCTGGAGGGAGTGAATAGTTGGACCTGTGGTCTTGGGACCATGGTCACAGGGGATATCAAGCTCAATTGGCATAATAAAGTACACAAAAACGTTGTTCTCCATCCTACTTTGATGAGTAGTGACTAGGGTCTTATAAGCTTGCAAGTGGCCATCTAGATGCAATGATGGGTCTCTCCTCTACCACTGTCAACCACTCGAAGGAGGGGGATTGGTGCAGGAGATCCTGGATAGAGTGAGAGAACAATGTGGAAAAAAACTCAAAATCATTAAAAAAAAAAAAAAAAAGCAGGGTTTGCTGGTCTGATAGAGCCAGGTGAGACCCCTGAGACTATGGTCCCTAGTTACCTTTCAGGTCTGGAACTGAACTCACTCATGTGGCTTCCAGCCAAACAGTACACAGGCATATGGGGTGAACATTTACTTAAAGGTAGATATACTCCTTGGAGCAATCAATCATGGGAGAACAGAAGGGCAGTGTTTGCACGAGGAGACAGCTCAGGAGGCGGTAATGCATGGGAGGGAAGGACACAGAAAATTAAAACAAAATAAAATAAAGAATGACTCTGGTCATTCTTGACCAGAGTCAGGATATTTTGGTTCAGAGTCAGGATATTTGGGGTGATAGTGATACAATCCAGAAGGCAAAGTTTTAATCCACTGATACAATAGCAAGAGAGTCTGAGAAACATTTCAACTTTATAGATAAAATCATACACAATTTTTTTATTTTCTTCTTGTGTTAATTATACAATTTTCCATATATAATTTTCCATGGAGGTGTTTTCAGTGACATCTTTAAAAATATTTCTTGTTGACATGTGTTCATGATGCCTTGAAAGAGATTGGTATTTATTATTTGTATACCTTAAGAGGTATAGAGAAGAAATGATTGATAGGGTTTTCTACTCTACTCCTATATATCAGTTTTTTTCTATTAACCACAGGTCTGATTTTGGCTGTTTCCATTCTTCTCCAAACAGTGTGTTAAAATCAAAAGGCTTGAAGTATTCCAGACGATGGCTAAAAGCAAAGAAAAAAAATGTGGGAATTGAAATGAGTTACGCATTTGTGAAACAGTTGTCCTGAAGGACTATTTATTTTGTCACATCTGTGATAGGACAACATTCTATTTTAAGAAATATCAAAGGTAAAATGTATTCTATATGTACAATTTTCTCACCCTGGCTATCAAACATTCAGCTCTGTAAACATTCACCCACATCTGAAAGCACTCTCCTTTCAATTCTGCAAATAACTCCTTCACAGGTGATGGGAGAAATAAAAATCAACTCTCAAAATCTGCTTCATTCCATCTGACTATAAACAAATCATAGCATATACTTGAAAAATATTTTATATTCGAGCTTTGATATAACTTATATTAGTCATAAAAGCAATTGTTTTAAAAAAGTTTCAGCTCCAAAGATCCAGAGCATAGATTCATAGCCAAAGCAAAGAAGGTTAACATAAAAGAGTGTTAATACTAGTTATTTGCTTTCCAGGAAAACAATTGAACTGTTTTTATGCTTTCCCTAGTGGTTTAATGCATAGAAAAAGATTTACCTAAAAAGTTGCAGTAGAAACCACTCTGTCCTGGCTCTGCCCTGGTCAATGGTATGATCATCTTTCACTCAAGGGAAGTGTCCAATTAGGTATGAGTGAGAAGCATGATATTTGCTGGTGAAGAGCAGAGAAAAAACCACCGTGGTATGGAGGCCCTGAGTCATTTGCATCTAGAATCCTATCCCAATCTGCCCTGCTGGCAAAGATGAACCAGTTTTCTAGTCACAACTGTCAATCTCAGATTTAGGTGTTAAGGAGAAAACAATAGAGTGAAGAATATAATAGGAAAATGAGAGGAAGGACAGTGCAGCACTTGCCAAAGGTAAAACAGCTGGAATGTCAGTCTATCATGGTGTAATACCCACTAGGATATCTGTTTTAAAAAAGAAAAAAAAACCCTCAATTGTCATCGAGTCCATCCTGACTCATGACATTGCCATGTGTATCAAAATAAAATCAACAGGTGAGTTTTCAGAAGTAGATCATGAGGCCATTCTTCAAGGCATCTCTGGGTAAACTTGAACCTCTGGTTAATAGTTAAGTACTTTAACACCCAGGGATCCAATGTCTCTATTAGGTTCTTCTAAACTATGGTAGGCCACACTGAGTACACTCAAAGACTATATAGGGCAGAGAACATAGCTTGCCAAAGGGTAGCACCTGGGTTTCCTCCCTATAAGAGTTGGGAAGAATGCAGCAGTCTGTGAAGCATTCACAAAGCTGTCCAGAAACTGCATTTTCCCTAGGTGATAGCTTCAGAGGCAAGGGACAAGACTCAGCTTGGGAAAATACAGGAGCTACCCACCAGCCACTCCTCGGAAGGAAGGTTGGGCAATCCTACTTCCGTAGTGATACTGCCTCGGAAACCCAAGGAGGGGTCGCTATGAGTCGGGTTTGACTCGATGGCACATAACAACAACAACAACAACCTCAGATTAAACACTTTATGGCTCACAGGAGCCAATATCTCTTGTAATAATTCCATAGGTATAGCTTCTTGGCGGTGGCATCACCCACAGCAGTGACTCATGGTGTCATCCCTCCCTCCCCATGGACCTCCTCCTGTAGCGGACCATACAGAAACCTTAGTAATAATTTTTGTACTAAAGTGACTCATAAATTGTAATTCCAATACATCATTGAAGGTAATGGCAATAGTAGTGACATAAATAACTAGCAAAATTGAAATTACACCTTTAAGTTATAATAGCTCACGTAGGCAAAACCACGTGATTTGAAGTGTCATTGTAATTGGGTAATAATGACAGCTCTGACCAGAGCGCATCACATGGTTCAAAAAGTAAATTAGCATAGAATTTCAGCCTTGAAGGTATATTGATACATGTAAGATACATGTAAGCTAGGCTTATACATGTTGTTATAACTAACTACAGGGATACTTTTATTAAAATATATATATATATATATTTATGTATTTGCTGAAATACTGTACAAAAATTTTATAGACAATCATTTTGGTGTCACCCCCTCTGATAGTGTTAACTGATATGGTCTACACCCCCCACATACCTTCCTAGTGATGCTACTTCTTTCAAGGTCCTCACATGGGACATGATTGTGAAAGGGAACCCCAAAGCTATGCTGTCCCTGTTAGGTATTTAGAGTTCATTGGCAATTCCTCTTGGCTCAGATACAATTTACCAATTCCAAAAAAAAGACAAACTCACTGCCATCAAGTCGGATCTGACTCATGTGAACCCTCCTTTGGTTTCCGAGGCAGTATCACTATGGAAGTAGATTGCCCCATCTTCCTTCCAAGGAGTGGCTGGTGGGTTTGAACCATCAGCCTTCTGGTTAGCAGTCAAATGTCTTAGGCACTACACCACCAGAGCTTCTATTTACTGATCAGGGGTCATTTTTTATCAGAATTAATGTTCTCTAGAAACATTCTCACCCTTATGAGGTTACCAGAGAGCTACAGAGTTAAATGAAGGTTAGATTCTTGTGCAGCAGGGAAAAAAACTTAGTAATCCTTTGCTCACACCAGTAAACAGTGATAGCTCTGGCCAGTTAGCTCTAAAAGAAATATAGATGAATCTGTGACCACACTTCTATATCAGGTGTTGCAACAGACATCAAACAAGACCTTTCTCATATTGCTATGGAATTATAAAGACACTATTGACAGTTGTGACAGAGACTATGTCAGTCCATAGTCAACCTATCAAGTATTTGCCAAGAGCCATCAGGGAATACAAGAGTCCACTGGGTGTTGGCATATGCACACCTTCCTCTTTGACCGAAAAATGTTACTACAGCTCTACAAAGAATTAATTTCCAAAAAAGCTCTTACTGTTGAATCAAACCTTCATTTGTTTTCTACTTACAAATCAGGTTTTTGTCCTTCTTGCAGTTCATGCTGAGGTACAGGGTAAAGAGCTTCATAACTTCTTTTATCCTTTGATCCATGAATTGCAAATGAATTGAATTTTGTGACATTTGGTGGAAAATAACACCAAGGAAGATATGCTTTTCCTTCCCATTTTGTCTGTTTTCTGGACACTTTGTATGATAAAGCAAGTCCATGCTACAGAAATAACATGTGAAATACAGTAGGTAACTTTGGATTTATACTTTAAATATATAAATATGTATATATATGACACACTTGAGCACTTAAGAATTTTGTTTCACATTTTCATTTACTTACTTTCCACACATTTCTTCTTCCAGAGAGTAAAAGCACCAAATGCTGTCCATGGCTGTCAAAAATAAAATTCTTCATGAATGTTTGAAAGATAGAGCTATTTTCTTCACCATCCTTCATATCAGGAATATGTGTGTTTGTAACTAAATTTCCAAATAATTAAAAGATTTAATATGAATATTTGATATTTAAAGGGAGAGTAAGAGTGTTCAATTATTTAGAAATGATGTCTTTGGGTTTACTTTTTTCCAAACAAAGGAGTCTATTTGTGACAACTACATATGCATAAAGCTACACATGCTTAAAATTGCTTTTATATTCTTTCAAGAAAAAACATTATACAGAATACTTCATTATGTTATATGATGCAAAGTATGAAAAAGGGGAGGTAAATGCCATGTTATTTGGATTTTATAATAAAACTAGTTTCAATAATTAAAGTACCCTAAAGGGAGTTGGCACCAATTTCCAAATATGAATTCAGTAACTTTACTAAAGGCTAATTCTGTAAAAAAGCTATCTTCCAGCTCATTAGATATAGTCAAAAAATATAAAACATAGACTAAGAACTAGTCAACAGGCTAAAGATTTTGATTTGTCTCTCCCCAGGCAGGAAGTGGCAGCCAGGGCCAAAGGCTGGAACAGGTAAGGAGAACCCGGCAGGAAGATAAGGGAGATGAACTTGTCTGTCAGTTTGTTGATACTGTGGTGGCTTGTGTGTTGCTGTGAGGCTGGAGGCTGGGCCACTGGTGTTTCAAATGCCAGCAGGGGTGCCCTTGGTGGACGGGTTTCAGCAGAGCTTCCAGACTGAGACAGACATGGAAGATGGATACCAAGGAGGCAAGGAAGTCTCATCTTCTGACCTCCTCTAACCCCACAAGAGAAAGACAGAATCACCACCAGTAGCCCAAGGCCTATTCCTGTGAAGCCAGATATTCTGCCTCCCTCTAGTTCTTTCACCAACCATTCCTCCTGCAGCACCAATGACCTCTTTGCTGGGTTTGATAATTTGCTGTAGTGCCCACACAGAACTCACAGATTATGGTGTTTATTAGGGAAGCAACAGGCTACAATTCAAGTTCAGAAATGCACTCAGTCTCTTACAGCCAGCTGGCAGCCTCAGTAGCACATTGCTCACCGAGCAGCACGTGTCTCTCGCATCTCTCTCTCAGCAGTGTATGTCTCTCACATCTCTCACCAGTATGTGTCTTTCATGTCTCTCAGGAACGCATTTCTCTCAGCAGCTTGTCTTTCTCAGCCAGCAGTCAGAAGACCCCTTCTGCCTCTAAGAGGGCTCCTTTTGAGCCTGGCGGAGCGGCCAAACAAACCAATCCCAACATCAGAATTCTATACACCTGAGAGAGAGTGAACTTCCCAGAAAATTACTTTGTGCTGCTCCCAACCGAAATACCACAGGTGGATAACTTTAACAATCAGAAGCTACTCAGTTGCTCATGGAAATTCCACTACGGAGTTTACAAAGACTTATGGCTAGAAAAATCACACAACGTAATTTGCTATACCACAAAGGAAGAGGTCTTCCACTTCTCAAAGAATTGGCCAGTGGAAACCTTATGAACAGCAATGAAACACTGTCTGATATATTACTGGACAACTTTATGAATAGCCATGAAACATGGTCTGATACAGTGACAGAAGATGAGCCCTTCAGGTCAGAAGGCACTCAAGATAAGACTGGGAAATAACTGCCTCTTCATAGTAGTTGTTGTTATGTGCTGTCAAGTCGGACCCGACTCATAGTAACCCCTCCTTGGGTTTTCAAGGCAGTATCACTACAGAAGTAGATTGCCCCATCTTCCTTCTGAGGATTGGCTGGTGGGTTTTAACCTCCAGCCTTCTGGTTAGCAGTCAGGTGCCTTAGGCACTGTGCAAAGACTTAAATTATATGGATAAAGTAGAGCTTTGGGGACCTCCAAAATGAGAAAAAAAAAACAGCTGTAAACATCCATTAATAATCAGAACATGGGATGTATGAAGTATGAATCTAGGAAAATTGGAAGTTTCGAAAAATGAAATGGAACACATGAAGACTGGTATCCTAGGCATTAATGAGCTGAAATGGACCTGTTTTGCCATTTTGAATCAGACAACCATATTATCTACTATGCCAGGAATGACAAATCAAAGAGGAATGGCATGGCATTCATCATTGCAAAGAATATTTTAAGATCCATCCTGAAGTGCAATGCTGTCAGTGATAGGATAATACCCATCCACGTACAAGGAAGACCAGTTAATACTACTATTATTCAAATTTGCACACCAACCACCAAAGCCAAAGATGAGGAAATTGAAGAGTTTTACCAACTTCTACAGTCTGAAATTGACCAAACATGCAATCAAGATGTGCTGATTATCACTGGTGATTGG